ACGTTGCGCATTGCAAGCAATATCTAAGTATAGATCAACACGGATTCATAACTGGGCGTTCCACAACTACGAACCTACTGTGCTAATTAAGACACAGACAGCTCGGACCCAAACGGACGTTACACAGATCTTACGGCAGCCTTCGATAAGCTGAACCACGAAATTGCGATCGCTAAGCTTGATAGACTAGGGATCGGTGGAAATCTTTGTAGATGGTTTCGTTCATACCTCACGGAGCTCTAACTGACAGTAACTTTGGGTTCTTGTCGCTCAGCAAGCTTCTGCGCAAAGTCCGGTATACCTTAGGGTAGCCATCTGGGATCATTGGTATTTCTCCTTTACTTCGACGACGTTCACCATTTTATCACAGGGCCACGATTATCGTTTGCAGACGATCTGAAAGTTTTCCTGTGCATCCACTCACTCGCCGACTGCCGTTCTCTCCAAAATCAGATTGACATCTTTGCTGACTAGTGTTGTCTAAACCGACTGGTGGTCAACACAGCTAAGGGTACAATCAAAGTAATGAAACAACCGATTATTTTCAACTACAAACTCCAGAACTCTTGGTTTTGTCTTCAAGATTACTAAGAACTTCACAGACAGTTACTGCTTGAAATCGCTCTATTGCTCTTTCGTACGATCTACGTTGCAATACTGCTCTGCGTTCTGCAGCCCGAACTACAATAATGGGGCCGAGCGAATTGAATCTGTGAAACGACGTTTTCTTCACTTCGCGCTCCGTAACCTGCCTTGGAGTTACCCACTTCGTCTTCGAAGCTTCGAGAATCGCTGCCAATTGATCAATATCGAGCCCTTACGTATCCGAAGAGATGTTTCAGAGCCTTAACCGTCACCGATACTTTGCAATGAAGAATCGACTGCGAAGCAATTCTGCAACAAGTGAACATTAATGTTCAACCTCGATCACTACGCAACAGTCTTGTGCTAAGACTTCCACTTCTTCGAACTAATTATAGCTTAGGGAGCACTATGCTATTTACGGCTTGCAGCGAGTGTTCAACCGAGTACCGTCGATGTTCGATTTCCACTTGACACGGAATATGCTTCGCCGAAGATTCTCTGCCTTTTTTGCTGACCAAAGGCGCTTGACGCCCATCAGCTAAGTGTAAAATTTTAGACGTCTACATTGTTAGTAACTTGACAATGCTTTCCTTGTTATTTTCGTTTGTAACTGTAGTATATGTAGTCTGTAATCTGTTGTTATTTTTACAACACATCATTGGGACTATTTCTAGTCTGTTGATGCAAACATAACAAATAAACAAATGCTTAGGAATTTACATGAAGAATTTCTTCTAAGAGTTATGTCTGTTTGTCTGTGCTTAAGCGCTGTCCAGACTGAGCAGTTATAACATGTTATAACGGTTGTCAAATAATTGCAACACAGAAACCACCATCAAGATTGCGCTGTAACATGTTATAACCATAGAGGCAGTGGCGTCAACAATCAACACGAAACTAACGATTTTAAATTGGCTCACTACTTGACTAGCCTATTGGTCCCAAGCAAACGATTAACGTACCCCATTCTAGTCGAAATTCTACTACTACACAATGTTTGTTTTGATTCGCTATGAAAGTTTGACAGATAAAGGGGGAGGTAGCTCATCGATTCTTCCGGTTCGCCTCCTAGCATCGTGCTATAAGGTACCAGGCGATAACCAGGGTAGTTGATCGATAGCTCGATGACGTCATTTCGTTGGCGTCTGCAATAGGAAATTCTCATAGCAGGCGTTGACGATGGGACGTTGTTGAGTTATTGAATAGCAACTATCGTGGTAACTCACCGATTACCTGTCGATCTGCCAAATTTGGAAAGACGTCTGCATTGAATTGTCTCATATAATAATATTCCGCCCACTATATCACAAGAAATTGCGAGTAGCTGAGTGGAATGGAGATAAGTTAAGCATTGGGTACAGGACCAAGTCTCCCCTGGGTGGTGCCAGAAGATGAGCGCAATAGAATCATCAAGTTGCCATATGGCACGGAATGAGACTATTGCATGGCTGGGTAGTCAAAGTCTTCCATTCGTTAGTCATTTCAGGTGGATTAGAACAGGTTTAGGTTTAGGGTGGGCGTTGGCCAGATTTGGATTTTTCAGATATAATCCTAAATAGGACCTAGATTATTTAATACACTAGTAACCTCAACTTCTGTCACAATGTTTCATTGTGACTAATCAACACTCACTGGGTAAAATATCAAATTTGCGGTAAATTTGAAAAAAAGGGAACTTAGAGTGTAGAGCGCACTGCCCACTGGACGATTCTGAAGCCTGGCCAAGTGAGTAGGTTACGGGTTTATTTGATTGTACGTCATTTCCAAGTTATATAAAGATACATTCATACCATTGACATTTTGTATTTGAGATAAGACAGAGACAGGATGCGGAGGACCCGCTTAGGGGGAGCGTAACCCATGTTATGGCTTCCATTTATTAAATAGTACAGATAGACTGGAAATGGGTTCATGGTGAGAAAATGTACCATATGGTGCCCGTTTACTGATCAAAATTAAATTCAAATCGTCAGGCCCTGCCCTGTAATAAGGGGATTGACGATGATTTGTCAAGTTTCATTTTGCATTTGCATATAATTGTAAGTTTAGGTTTGCTTTTGTAGTTGTAAGATAGATAGTTTGGCTCAATTGAAACATTGAGTTGTATAAACTTGACGAATCATACCTCTAAAATAGTAGTAGTTACAGTGCCGCATTATCTAACAACCACTGCCTGCAACTAATGTTGGAGGGGTCAGCAGGGCTGATTACGGATCAAAACTAACATAACTCTAACACTGAAATGATCCCGAAACTAACGCTCATTCATTGCACTTTGAGTCATAAAGTAGTTTTATTTATTTTCCTACTAATCTATCTACACACTTAGTTTTTTCTACCGAGCTCGGCTGTGCGGGTCTCGGTGGGGAGGGGGTTTCGCTGAGATCTCGGCGGGAGTGACATTTGATTGCTGAGTCTCGGATAATGCCTTTTCTAATAATCTGCCTACGTTTCTTTTCTTTTTTATCTACTTCATCCCTTTTTTATTTTTCTGCTCTTCTTTCCTCTTCTCTTCGTTTGTTTTGTTTGTTTACATATACCTAATACTAATACCTCCTTGTTTTCTCTCTAATTTGTCTACTATGTCCCACCATCACGATGAGAGATGAGCTACCGTACATGGTACACGCTCATATACACTCCCAAAATAGTATGCCGCAAGTAAGTATATCACAGAGGCAACTAAAGATCCAGAAACGAAAACCGATAACGCTGAAGATAATGAGCTGTGGTGATTTATATGACTAAATAGTATTATTTATTTATACTAACCTAAACACAACGTGGGGTGACCCAAATCCAAACGATCACTAACCAAAATATTAGACTTATTTTTTTCAGCAGCACTACACCAGCCAGCAAAGTTCAACAATCCATCGTTGCTTATGCCTTTGTTGTCGTTTGGAACCAGTTTTACGAGGTAGGCGACGATTGTGCGTATTTCTCGCGTAACTTTTGAAAAGAGCCTATTTATAGCCTGAACAATACGTAAAGAGAAAATTGAAACATTGAACGTCGCTCGAAAGTGGAACTTAATGAAGGCCTAAGTACTTTTTCGTAGTCTTTAGTTTTCGGATTTGAAAGATCGTCGGTTACAGTGGCCTGCTTACTGAGCAGAAAAACGCGGTCCCAGGTCCTTACATATCAAAGAGATTTATGGTAAAATCGCTTGTGTATCGTGTATTTTGCGAAACTCGTTGTTGTCGTTGGTTCCGGGTTTGAATGGATACAAAAATTTGAGCAACGGTATTATGTGATACATATGAGGGGCTCGGTGGCCTTAGAGCAACCGTTTTTGCTTACTGAGCAGAACATCATGAGTCTAATCTCAGGCCCATCCACATTCAAGATTCGTCAATCGTTTTATTTGTTAATATGACTACATGGTAATAACAGCAACTCGGTGATTAAAAAGGTGCTTGTCTGCCTAGTGGCAAACGTTTTTGCTTACTGAGCAGAAAACCGTGGGTTTAGTCCCAAGCTTCTTCGCGTTATATGATCGTTAGGACATCAATTCAGCTTATCGTTTACCAAAACGAACCCTGCTGCAAACCCAACCCTCTTATCCAACATCCCAGTGATTCCTCGTGGAAGTGCAGAGGTGTTCTCGGCTTCCATCAAAGCGAGTGTCATGTCAACACAATCCTTCCCATTCCTTTCTTGACCTGTGTTCGGGCGCGGCCGGCGCTGGTATTGCCTAATTTAAGATCACCAGTTTTTACACATTGAGGATGATTGCTAGTCCCAAGCATCGTCTATTGGTTCTCTGTGTAATTACAGCTGGTCTGGCAATAACAGAGTAGCAACCGTGGGCGGTCAATCAAGCTCAAGCTATGAAAGTTTGACAGATAAAATGAGGGGTTAGTGAATTTTCCTATGTTTCGAGGGGTGAATCGATTAGCTTGGGACCGAAGAGAGTACCAGAGCTGAGCCAAAACGTTGAGCACGTTATTTCGGGACCTTCGTAGTTTCGTATTGATTGTTGTTATAACTCTGTAGTCTGAACTAAAGAGCCTGAATTTATATATTATATATATATAAATTCAGGCTCTTTAGTCTGAACGTACTATTAGGTAATGAGCGATGAACTGAAGTGCAATAAACAATATAAAACTGCAGGTACTATTTAGGTACTGGAACACCCACCCTACTTATGGGCTGTTCATAAACTACGTAGAAAGTTTAGGGAGGTTTAGGATCGCCGGAGGGTTGACAATTATCCACGGCCCATACAAATTAAAAAAAAATTGTATGGACAATTTTCTACGCAGGGGGAGGAAGGCCCAATCCCAAAAAAAAACGTCTACGTAGTTAATGAACAGCCCATTAGGATTTTTCTTTTCTGCTCTACGGATAAGTTATCATCTACGATGGCTTTTTTTTAATCATTTTTGTATTCATTTATACACATCTTTTGATCGAACATTTATGTGGAGGCATTCATCCGCTGCCTTTGCAATCTGTATACGACTAAAGATTACATTTTGTGAGAGTGTCAATGTACGGATAGGTATCTATTGTTCATCAATCATGACTATATGCATTCGTTAGGCATAATGTGTATGAGTAATAATAACCAGTATCGCAACCAGAAGTAGGTTCTGCAGTTGCTTCATTTAATGGGTAAAAGGATTGTGTATTCGATTGTTTTGCCACTGATATCTGTTTCAGAGTGTTTGGGTGTTGTGGTTCCGCTATTGTGCTCTTGATTCCTATATACTGCAGTTCGTTTTGCATTCGATCATCATTTCTTAAGGTCTTTCGCTAACTATGTAAAAATAGTGTAGAAGTCTTACGTCATAAATTACTATTAATATGCTGTATAAATTTTATACAAAGATAAACATTTACACGATTTTCGTTCGTTTAATAATAAGTAGTTTTCGTAACTAGGGTAGAAAGTTTGCTCTTGCAATAAAACCTCTTACTTAACTCAGTGCTATCACATTAACACTTGTTTTTGGGGTCTATTTACATCACATCTTATATTCTCCATCGAATCTGCACGGAACAACGGTGAACAGGAAAATGCTAATATATATGTTCCTTTGTTTTAAATCGTGACTCTAATTAATAAGGCAACTGGAAATGTAGTTAAGGTATATTTGGACTTGTAGGTTTGCGAAACCAAATTAAAAGTACAAAAAATGAGCTAAAATCGAACGGAAGGATAGCCGTATCCTTCCAGGTCAAGGATCATTGGAATTAGATGTGGGGAGAAAAAAAAATATGGACCAAAGCAATGTTCCGTGACCGTGGAGGATGGTTGCAAATACTGGAATAAACAGTTGTTGATGATGGCAGTGAACATTTACTTCTATGGGGTTCTTTTCAGTAAGTACCATTGGAGCTTGGTTTTAACCTTTCCTAAAACTCAATAGAGGGCAGTCATTTGCGTGTGTTGTTTTGTGCCGTTCATCGATTTTGTTTTGAGATCGAAAAGTAGTTAGTTTTTTTTTTTGTATTACCATTATAATAGAATGTTTTGTATGACGTTTCATTAGAAAACTTTCATATTGCACCACCGTGTTGAATGACGTGTTCTTCCAGTGAAATTTCTTCTCAATTTGATTAACGTAATTTACATGAAGGGATAAGTCCCTCTACAAAATATACTACTTATGGCTCGATTTCCTATAATCTATTCTGCTACTAATTTCAGCGTGGTATTGTACATAACAGCATTGTTTTTCGTATCAATATTTATCAATACTACATCTAATCCGTTCGGAAAGAAGTTCTCCTTCTAAGTAGATTTTAAATTAATCGTCAGTATCGACACAGAGCAGTCGACTAAACTAAATTTGAATATTCTACAGTAAAGAATAAAAAATCAGTCCCATTTTTGATTATGCTTCTTCCTGTTTCGAGCAAACCGCCAACCAATCGATAGATTGGTTGCGTCCCGAATCGCTCGCATTTTCCCAATTAAAAACCAAAACTAAAAAAAAACTGGTTCCACTCACCTCGCTGTCTCGCAGTCAGTCTATCTCTCGCGCGCGCATCCTCGGCCTAAATTTTCAAGTGTAAAACTTTTGTATCACAAACAAGTTTCCTACAGCTACCTCTGGCATAAATCTCCACCGCCCCCAGCGGATCCTATCAGGACAATTGATTCTCGCTCTTGCTGCCACTGATACCATTGATGCGGCCGGCACCGACGATGGCCACTCCGCCGTTCACCATCCCGGTGCCGTTGCACCTGGCTTTCAGCTTCGCGCCCAGCTCGTCAATGATCCCATCGCAGGACGAAGGTCATACGAATGAGCTAAATCCGGGCAGCGGCGCCCGTGATCGGGCCATATTGTTCATAATAATCTGACCTCCGTTGAGGCTCATCACTGCGGACCCCTCCGGTTCCGAGTCCGTGTAGCTGGAATAGTTTCGCACCGGTTTCTGACGCTTCCAGGATTGCCGCAGCGAATCGTTCACGTTCGCGTAGTGATTCACGAACGAGTGCGGATCCGAACGGACGCTCTCGTTTTCACTTTCCGAGGCCTTTTTTTTAAACGAAAGAGGAATAATTAGATTGGAAAGAAGTTGAAGCCAGCTTAAAACCTACCTGTGAATCACTGGAGCTCACTTCGGACGGCTTCTCCGTGACGCTGCTATCGTCCGGATTTTCATCGTAGCATTTTAAACTTTCTTCGTCGCTGTGATACGCGACGGACGCCGGCGAAGGCCTTGGCGGTGACTTGCCAAGGGACGCCGCAGCTGCGGCAGATGTCTGTGGTTTCCTACCGCCCAGTATCGTACCGGTTCGCCGTCCCATCGTGCCGGTCCCGTTCAAGGTGCCATTGTTACTCGTCACTCCGTGACGTGAGCGGTATAGCTCCAGCGCTAGCTCTTGCCGTTCGTCGATTGACATCGCCATCGACTCCTCCAGGGTCTTTTGTGCTTCTTCTGTAAAAAGTAATGCAGATCATTCAAAATTTGACCATCATCATACATTTTCAAGACGACACTCACGTTTATACTTGTAGCTTTTGCTCTTGACGCAAAGCACGGCTATGACCATGATGATGATGATGATGGAAGTGGCCGCCAGCGCGACCATGAACCACGTCTGCCGGTAGAATGGCTTCTGCTGCAGGTAACCATACTCCAGGTACAGCTTCGACGGAGTCAGGATGGCATCGTCCGAGTAGACGGGACAACTGATCCCGTACCGGTTGTAGGCGATCACGCGGAACTTGTAAGCCGTCGACGGCAGCAGGCTCTGGAAGCTGACGGTGAACTCCTGGATGGGACCATTGGTGGTCCGAGCTACCGTTTCCCAGCGGGTGTCGTCTGGTTAGAAGGGTTTGGAAAGTTAGTGATTTGGTGGTATTATTTGAGATTGCTTTACAAAGGAAAAGGACATTCAAATGGAACAATAACGGCAGAATTTCACAGATTAAGCATGTGGTTATTTTAGACATAGGTATGAGTTATGCAATATTGCTGTGAGCAAGTTTATGCTAAAATTGGATTGCGTGTTAGTTTTGAAAGTACAAATGAGAAAAGAAAAGAGTTAGCTTATAGAGTTATTGTATGAAACAAAACCAGTCCCTGGAAATATCCTAGAAGCCATCTCTAATCCTCTTGAAATAATAACTCATCATATTGCGTTCGGGAGAGTTTCGTAATAAGAAGGATGCCGATTCATCCAAGAGCAGTGGAGACACCACCTCGAAGAAAGATGAAAACAAAGCTGTCACCCCAGAGCAGGGTGAGTCGAAACCAAAACAGACGAATAAATTTAAGCAAACTGTTGTCTTAAGGCCCAAACAAAAACAGTCAGCTGACGTCACCAAACTAGGGGGCTGTTCATTAACTACGTAGACCGTTTTTTTGGATTCTTGACCCCCCCTCCCCCTGCGTAGACAATTGTCCATACAAAAAAAATGTATGGTCCGTGGATGATTGTCACCCCCCCCCCTAAACTGTCTACCTACGTAGTTTATGAACAGCCCCTAGACGTTCGCAGTAAATTTAATCCTGTTTCCTATGCTGTTAGGGATATTCGCCGTCGAGATAACGGTGAGGTGGTCATCAGATGTGGATCTGATGCACTTGCTACCGAAACGGTGCGTGTGGCTCGTGCAACGTTCCCAAACAAGTACGAGGTTAACATTCTGAAACCACCAAGAGTAAAAATTGTTGGCATTTCGGACGATACTGACAGCAGTAATTTATAGCGAATTCGTTTATTATTCAGTTCCAACCTGGATCGGGTATCAAGATTGGGTCTGCTTATTTTCTGACAAACGTCAGTTTGCTCGTTTGTTTTTAAAACCCAGCTCAGGTTGAGGTTCGCGCTGACAAAAAGTTCGGTTTCGCACTGGGTTGGAACTGGTTCCAACCCCGATAATAAACGAATTCGCTATTAGTTGATCTGATAAAAAAACAAAACCGCCTACCTGATCTGGCTGAATTGAAGTTATTCGAACACAGAAGATCGAAAACGCGTCTGGTGCTTCGTATATGGCTGTTTTGGAAACCAATGTTGTAGCTTTTGAATTGCTGATGAAATCGCGATACGTAAATGTTGATTGGGAACGTTGCACGGTTTTTGAAGTCGTTGATGCTATGCGTTGCTACAAATGTTCGCAATTCGGCCACAAAACATCTACTTGCCGTAACGAATTATGCTGTCCTAAGTGCACCGGAAAGCACGGCGTCCGTGAGTGCTCGGCGCAAACCGAACTCTGTGTCAACTACAAGGATAAAAATCTTCATCGTAAGCCAAATGAAGATCTATTCGACGACGCACACTCTGCGTGGAGCAGCACCTGTCTGCTACACAAGAAACGTTTGGAAAATGCTAAGCAGCGTATATACTACATCAGCTAGCTACCAGAGGGATATGTTGATGTGACCAGCAGAACAGAATCAAATTGTCCAGGTAAATCTATTTCAAGTATATGTCCTGCTGAAGCAGGATTGGATCCTACACTTTTCAATAGTGCATCAAACTTTCAGCATGGTCCATCACCATTACCTCAAGTTGCCATCGAGTCCACCGAAGATGAAAACTGTTTTCCCGACGTGGGATTACTAAGGAGCTAGAAGCAGATCGAATGTTAACGGAGGCCGCCACGTCTGACATGCGCGCGGATCCGACGAACGATGGTCTCACCGTCCAGAGAGAAGATGGTTCTGCTTCACACCGAAACTCAACGAATGACCCCACTCAAAAACTTTGGTTTCAAATGAAGAAAGAATTTTATGTTTGATTCGTCTATGAACAATGATGGCAAGACGATCATTTCTATAAATGAAATAATTTGAGTCCTTCTTAACCTTAACCTTATCTTAACATGGAGTTAGATTTAAGCATATCAGAAATCATGTCAATTAATGATTTCTGTAAAATTTCCATTTTAAAGGGTTATACGGTCAAAATTTGGTCAATATCAACTTGACGTATTTCTTTCAATTTTGCATTTAAAAAACCTGAACACCCCTCATTTTGAAGGTGTGTGTGTGTAGAATGTTGCTCCTATTTTGATTTTGGAATTCACTCTTCAGTTGTCAAAATGGCGTCCAAGCAAGAAGAGCAGCGTATCAAAATTTTGCTCGCGCATTGCGAAAATCCGAGCTACTCGCACGCAAAGTTGGCAAAATCGCTAAAAGTTGCCAAATCAACCGTTACAAATGTAATTAAAGTGTTTGGGGAACGTTTGTCGACAGCCAGGAAGTCTGGATCGGGGGGAAATCGAAAACCGGAAGCCGCTGAGACGACAAAGAGAGTTGCCGGTAGTTTCACGCGAAACCCTAACCTCTCTCTCCGAGATGCCGCAAATAAGCTGGGTGTATCGTCTACAACCGTGCATCGAGCCAAAAAACGAGCCGGACTATCGACTTACAAGAAGGTAGTGACTCCAAATCGCGATGATAAACAAAATACGACGGCCAAAGCGCGATCCCGGAGGCTGTACACGACGATGCTGACGAAGTTTGACTGCGTGGTAATGGACGACGAAACCTACGTCAAAGCCGACTACAAGCAGCTTCCGGGACAGGAGTTTTATACGGCAAAAGGAAGGGGAAAGGTAGCAGATGTTTTCAAGCACATGAAACTGTCAAAGTTCGCAAAGAAATATCTGGTTTAGCAAGCCATCTGTACCTGTGGCTTGAAAAGCAGCATTTTCATAGCTTCCGGGACTGTCAACCAAGAAATTTACGTGAAAGAGTGTTTGAATAAACGTCTGCTGCCTTTCCTGAAGAAACACGGTTGTTCCGTACTGTTTTGGCCGGATTTGGCATCTTGCCATTACGGTAAAAAGGCCATGGAGTGGTACGCCGCCAACAACGTGCAGGTGGTTCCCAAGGACAAGAACCCTCCCAACACGCCAGAGCTCCGCCCAATTGAGAAATACTGGGCTATTGTCAAGCGGAACCTAAAGAAGACCAAAAAAACTGCTAAGGGCGAGCAGCAGTTCAAGGCAAACTGGCTTTCTGCGGCGAAGAAGGTGGACAAGGTGGCTGTACAAAATCTGATGGCAGGGGTCAAGCGTAAGGCCCGGCAATTCGGATTTGGAAAAGCGGAAGCCTAACTGAATATTTTTCCTGAATTTTATACTAATTGAACTTGAAAAAGAAATTTAATTTGATTTTTTAAATAAACGATTTCACCGATTTACACGCGTTTTCCCTTGACCAAATTTTGACCGTATCACCCTTTAGGGGCAGTAATGCCAACAATCAATACGAAACTAACGATTTTAAATTGGCTCACCACTTTAGGCTCTGAACCATTTGGTGGATTATTTTAACTTTTAGTTAAAATTTGACAGATGGAAAGTTATCGATGAACCCTGCTATCCGAGCTTTGCTATTTCTGACAGACAAGAAGTTAAATTTTGACAACCGTGGGTTGAAAACCGGTCGATCGACCGCACGGGGATTTTCGAACATAGAAAATAACTTTCGAAATGTCACTTTTAACCACGAGTTAAATGTAACTTGGCAAATGGTTCACAGCCTTAGTAGCCTATTGGTCCCAAGCAAACGATTAACGTACCCTATTCTAGTCGAAATTCTAGTACTATGCAATGTTTGTTTTGATTCGCTATGTAAGTTTGACAGATAAAATGAGGGGTTATTGGTTTTTCCTATGTATCGAGGGGTGATTCGACTAGCTTGGGACCGAAGGGAGTACCAGAGCTGAGCCAAAAAGTTGAGCACGTTATAACGGGACCTTCTAGTCTTAGAGTTACCTCTATGGTAATGCTTCCTAAGTCAAAATTGTCAAAATTTCCGTTAGAATTACGTTGGTTAGTATTTTGATTTCTACCCGATGCAATAGCAGCATAGGCAGCTCCATTAACTCGCTGAACATTGTTAGCAGCGAGGGGAGTAGGTACAGATGAAACATTTGAAGCAGGGGTGATATTTGTACCTACGGGTACGAATGTAGAATTTGTTCCTCGCTGACCGTTGTTAACAGCAGAGGAATGTGTACCAGGTCGGAAACGTGGAGCGTTTCCTACCTGTCGCTTAGCACGAGATTGTAGGATCGCTTTGCGAGTCTTACATTCCCAAAAATTGGATTTGTGGTTTTCACCACAATTTGAACATTTAAATTTATTAGGATCTTCCTTCACAGGGCAGTCGTCCTTTGCGTGAGAGGAATCACCACAATTCATGCATTTAGCTGGCATGTAGCAATTTTTAGTTCCGTGACCCCATCCCTGGCACTTACGGCACTGGGTGAGGTTTTGGAGATTTCCTCCAGTCTTCCTGAAGTGTTCCCACTTCACTTGGACATGGAGCATAAGGCTAGCTTTTCTAAGGCCTTAAGGTTGTTTAGTTCACTAGACTTGAAGTGAACTAAATAAAAATCATTAGAAATCCCGTTGCGCGAATCGCCAGGACGGGATTTCATTTTCATTTTGATTACTTGTAGTGGCACAACTCCAAGTAATTTTGCCAGTTCATCTTTGATCTGATCCAGGAATTCACCACTGGGCAGTCCATTCATGACAACCTTGAACACACGTTCAGTTTTGGTGTCGTAAGTAAAATATTTGTGCTGCTTCTCAGTAAGATACTTGAGAAGACATTTAAATCCGTCCAATGCTTCAGCCAATACACGGCATTCACCCCAACGTCCAATTTGTAGTGAAAACTTAACTTTCACGAAGTTCAAAAGTTCCATGCGAAGAGCATGGAAATCGGAAGTGGTTATCACAATAGGGGGATTCTTTTCCTTCTTGGCATTAAGCCGGGAAAGTTTACTACAATTTTTTTTGTGGATGATGGATCATTCTCATCATCCGTGAGCAAATCAAATTGATTACTCA